CTGTTCTGCTGCCAGCTACACTCTCTGACACAGGGACTCATGTCCAGGGACTGTCTGTCTCTAGAAGAGAGCTTTTGTCCAAGGCTTTTACACTGATTTTTAAAACTCTCCTGCAAGGTCAAATAGGTTTCCATGATTGAGCTTAATAACTGCCTGTGCCCTCTTCACAGACAAATGGGAGCACTCTGTTCTGTGTCCCACAGCACAGAGACTTCATGCTCTTGCTTGCAAATCACAACTTAAATTGAATTATTAACAGTGAACTTTCCTGCAGATACAGCAGCCAGGCATTCTGCTCCTTGGCTGAGTCTCCACCATTCCTGAAGTCCTCCCCACAGTGATCAAGGTACCCTCGAAGTCTAGCAGAACATCCCCTACCCAGAAACCTGCTCTAGCTCTTGCCAGGAGCCGCTTCTGTTCCTCTTCACACATTCCCTCCTGGCTGCCTGGAGAAGTAGGCAACACAATCAAAGACAATTAGCAAATATAACTGCTAAATGCAATTATCAAGACAAGCAGACCCCTCTCCACTCCAAATTCAAAGTCAAGCCCCACCCCCAGCCTGCTGGTGCTATTTGGAATTCACTTGTGGCCAGATTTCTCCTGCACAGAAACACAGGTGACAGGGGAAGTCACTGGTGGCAGACAATGACCTGGTCTTTGTGGCAGAAGTCTCCTCCACACCACCCAGCAGTGCACATAGGGCAGCCACAGTGATCCTCCAGACTGGCCACTGGGCCAAGTTCCAGATCAAGGAGGTGGCACTCCAATAGCATTTATCATGCTGCTGAGCCACTGCACAGCAGGAAAAAGGGAAGGATGTATTCCTTGGGGTGAAGGGGTTTGCCCGCTCAAATCCAGCCCCCAAACGCACTATGGAAATGGGAGGGAGTGTATACAGTCCCTGAGGAGTCATAGGTCAAGGTCAGAAGAATGAGAAAGGCCCAGAATCAGAAAGGCTAATGGCCAGCCATGAGAAGCCAGCTACCAGCCAAGAACAAACAGGACAGAGCTGGGAGGATCTCCTCTCAAAGTGAACACAAAAGCTTCTCAGGCCACCCCCATCACCCGGGCCAGCACGCCTGCCAGAAAGACAGACATGGGCAGGCACATGTGCTGGCTCACACGTGCACATGCCCTGGGGCAGCCACAGCGGTGGATTCCTGGCCCATGTCCCTACCCCCACCCATCCCTTGCCTCCGCACAACAGACACTCACACGTGTTCAGTCACAGAACATCACCCACACAGTGCCTGTGCCATTCTGGTCGCTGGAACAACTGGTGACAGTTGTGAGTTCAAACAGGCATAAAGGAAGAAATGCAGGAAATCACTGTTTCTCCTAAAGGGCAGGAGGCAGGGAGTAAGGAGCAAAAGTAATACAGGGTTGGGAGGGGATAGGACCCTGCACTCTACTCTCCCGGCTACCCATTCGGGGTCAGAATCTTCTCGGAAATCACATCAAACAGGTTCAAGGTGGCTGTGAAATGATAATACCAAACATTTGAGCAGGTCTCTCCATTCATTATGACCTACTAGGGTAATACTTGGAGGAGGTGACCATCTCCTTGGGTTCAAATGACCACCCTGCCTCCACAGGGCCCAAAGATGCTATCTCCAAAATAATCTTTGACATCCAAGCATGGATCATAGTTGTGGAGTGTGCTTGTTTGTGTGTGAGTGAGCACAGAGGCTTTATGTAGCAGAGTGGGATACAGTCAAACAAAAATGAGGTTGCCATGGCAACAGGCTCCAGCATCATTGCAGCCTATTAACACAAGTGAGGAATGTGTTTGGCAGATGCTCGAGTGTTATTTATGGTATGGGTGTAGCAGAGGGACTTCTAACAGGCAAAAGAGGAAGAAAAACAACCCCATGACGCTCCTACTGTACCCCCGTGAGGCGATGAGGAGACGACAGCAAGACAAGAGCACAGGAGAGGCCAAGGCCACAAACGAACCAGAACCAACGGGACTAAGAAAGAGGGCAGCAGAGCAAGCAGGAAGGGTGAGGAAAGAAGAAGTGGGCTGAGAGCAACAGGGGGCCGCACCGGGAGAGCAGAGAAAGGAAGGAGGCAAGGCATAGGCAGGAAGAGGGAAAGGGCAGAGGAGGAGGGTGGCAGATCCCAGGGGAAGGCAAGAGCCAGAGATACAGGGAAGGGGAAGGAAGGAACACCGTCCCACACAGGGGCTGCCCCACCTTGCCTCTTGTTTGTCTCTTGAATAAAAACCGACTGGTTAAGAAAACAAATGCATCTTCTAACTGGAGCCAAGACGTAGAGCCCAAATGTAAGAGGGGCTGGGGAAGAATAACAACATGCACGGGTCAGATAATGAGGCTGAGAACCTGGACATGGGGAGGGAGGGGGCCAGCCTTGCAAGAGAAGTTAATAAATGCCCAAACAGTTTAATGAGGACCTACTGTGTGTCTAAGGCATCATGGAGAGAAATTCCTAAAGCCCCAAACCTAGAACCCATTCACTGTTACCCTTCTCTCTGGAAAAGTGTCTTCATTTAAAAAAAAAAAAAAGGTATCTAACCAACTAACCAAGCCACCTCAAAAATACACTCTGGGATACTAATACTCCCACTAATAGTTCCCCACCACCCAGCACACTTTGCTGAAGAAAGAGGAATTTTATAAAGGCATAATCAGAAAGGTAGATCAAGTACAAATAAAAAAAGATACAGTTTTCTCTGAAGCCAAATAGAAACAATGTTTACATTCCCTTGTCTTGGACCATTTCAAACAAACTCTGCTGTACTCAGAGCGGATCATCAAAAGTTAAGTGTAAATCCATCCAAAATCCTTCAGCCAAGGAAAAGTCTTGGGTCGAAAAGAAATGGGTAGAGAAGCATGGAGTGGGAACTGGTGGGGGCGGGAATAGAAAGGAGAATATTGCCTGAGGAACCAGAAGGCAAGTCAGACCCTGTGGCAATGGCATTTCATGCCAAGACGGAGTTGCAGTGCTTAGGTTCAGCTTGTCATTTGGGATCTGACTCCAGTCTCCTGAAATCCTATGTCCAGGACTGCCTATTGCTGTAATCAGGCCCTGTATTCCAAGACAGGTTCAGAAATACCCACAGCTTTCCTGGAAATCGCCACTGTGCCATATAGATGACATACCCTTCCCTCTTCAAAAAAACTACACCTACCAAAGGCAAGAACAGAGATACAACACTTATCTGAGAGCATGGGTCCTCGGGCCAAAAGAGTTGGAGCCTTTATAAGCACTAACAATAGTAGAAAATATTTTCAAACTACCACCTCTCAAAAGATTTCCCTCTCAAGTTCAAAGCCAATCTCTAAAGGGTTTTTTTCCTTCTGATCCTAGATCAGAAAAACTTTAACTTAACATCAACAACTCCACCTACTCCACTCACTGGACCCCAACCAAATTTGCCAGTGGCTATTAAATTGTTACTAAATATTCTGCATTGGGCTAGGCAAGGGAGAAAGTGGAGGAAGGAAAACATATACTTCAGGATCCTTGCATCCAAGGAGGTTACACTGGATGGGCAGCAAACCAATGGACACTGGAGAGGGCTCCTGTCTATGGCTGACTCTCCTATTAACCATGCAGAACAGGGAGAGCACCATGTGGCTGAAACGGAAAGAAGACTCCTTACAGGAGGTGAAGTTTTATTTACTCCTTAGCCCACAGTTGGTGAAGAGGCTGTTGGGAGTCTAAAGGACATAGTCAACCCTCTCATTCTCTAGAAAGGGAACCTAGGACCAGAGAGATCGCATGTTCCCTCCCTCCCTATTGCAGAGCATCTTGCAGGTTCAGCATGTCCAGGAAGTTGGGATACAAGGGAGCATCCCAAGAAAGTTGAAACACGCAACAGGATCAAAGTCTGGGGAAGGTAGTAAAAGTAGGGAGAAGGAGAGGCTCTATGAGGGCTGGGAATGTAGCTCAGTGGTAGAGCACTTGCCTAGCATATAGAAGGCCCTGAGTTCAATCCCCAGCAGGGGGTGGGGGAGGCTCTGTGAGAGGAGGCAGATACCAAGAGATGGAAGGAGTGACGTGGGGTCAAGGTCCAAGACACTGACCTACAGCAAGCCCCCCTTAACTCTGTCCAATGGAACAGCATACAATCGAGCAGGTTCAGTAGAGGCCATGGATTGGGATAGATACTAGGATGCTAAAAGGAGAAAGCACAGATGTCTTAGAGGCCGCCTTACCCTAAGGCCTGGGTGGCAAGCATGTCCCTCTTCAAGAAGTTTGAAGCCACAGAAGTTTTATTTACTCCTTAGCCCATAGTTCTAGATTTGCCCAATAAGTGCCAGCAGGGCTTAAAAAAAAAAAAAAAGCAATGATCAGGAGCACCCTTTGGAAAGGTCATGGTGTTCAACACCAGCTTTCTGCTCAGGCCAGAAGGGGGACTGTGGCCACACACATCTCAGATGCTCCCTCCCACTTTTGCCAACTGCAAGTTTTCGCCTTCTTGCCTTGCACTTCGGTAAAGGAAACAAACTTGTCAGTCCTCCTTCAAGTTCAGTGATATCTCTAGCTCCCAAACCTCTAGCCTCAGACACTGGGAGGGCTATCCTATCTCCTTCCTAGGACAGGACAAGGGGTAGCCAGATCCCTCCTCCCCAATGTTCTATCTAGGTCTGGGTTAACAAGTCAGCAGTGGTGCTCTGGATGGGTGGCTGCTAGAGGGTCCCGCCACTTTAGGTAGTGTCTCTTGTATATACAGGGACTGAAGCTCAGGGAGAGATGGGGACTTCTCCATTTTCTCCAAGTCTTCTTCCTTACTCAAATCCCAGCACTGATGGATACAGTTTGGAGCGTCACCTACCAGGCCAGGAACTTTATAAGTAATAAAAGAGCACTCTTTTGTAAACAAAGACACTGGGGTGCAAGGGGGACCAAGAAGCCACATCTCTGGCTCTTTTCACCACTTTCAAGGGTGAGGGTGGGATCACTTTCTCTGGAATCAAGCCCAGGCCTGCCAAGCCCCACAGTCCAGTCCCTTTGGCGGGGTGGGCTCCTACCTGTTTGAGCAGGAACTGGTCCTGGGCGTTGGTTCGCAGGGCGATGGCCAGGTGGAGAGCAGACAGGAGCACCCCGCTGAGCACTGCAGCCCGCATGCGCACGGGCAGCAGGGTGTAGATGGTGTAGATGAAGAACACCGTCCACCAGATGCCCTCGGAGGCGCTGCGCGGCTGCGGCAGCAGAAGGCCCACCACTTGGACGGCCAGCACCACCGCGATGAGCGCGTAGCAGGCCAGGCCCATGTGGTCCTGGTGGAAGGCTGCGCGGTTGCAGAGCACAGCCATAATGAGGATCACTCCCACAGCGGCCGCCAGCACGGCCAGGTAGGGCAGCTGGAGCGGGGGCCGCGCCGCGTGGAAGGCCAGCATGACAAGACACACGAGCACCAGCACCGCCATGAGCATGGTGAGACTGCTCTGGTTCAGGCGGAAGAAGTAGCGCTGGTACAGCCGCTCCAGCTTGTCCGACGGGAACTTCTTAGAGCGGAATATCTGCAGCAATGCCAGGCAGCAGGCGCCCAGCGACAGCACCGCGCCGGGCCCTGAGCCTGAGTCCTCTGAGCTGCAGCCATCCCCAGACCCTTCGCCGCCCTCGACGGCGCCAGCCTCTACTTCGTCGGCCGCGCGACCCTTGCCCCGTCGCTCCTCCAGGCCCAGCTCCACCGAACGGGGGCGCACCTCCGTCCCGCCCGCCGCAGCTGCCGCTGCCGCCGAACCGCCGCCGCCGCCCGCAGGGGGCGCCCGGGTGCTGCCCCCGCCGGCCGCGCCCCGCCGCTGCCGCCGGCTGCCGCGACCGCAGTCGTCGCCGCCGCGCTCCTGCCAGGCGGACTTGGAACGGAAGCTGAAGCCGAAGCCCCCGGCCAGGGGGTCGTCACCACTCAGCGGAGGATCGTCGTCGTCGTCGCTGCGCCAGCGGCCGGCCAGGCGCTGCTGCTGCGGGGTCACCGACCCACCGGGTTTCTTGGTGGAGCTGCGGGTGGAACCCCCAGGGGCATGGGGGTAACCATTGGCGCGGGAATCGGCCTCCCCCCATGCCGAGCGGTGCTCTGGGCCTCCCCGGGGTGCCGGCGCCGCAGCTGTCTGCGCCGCGTAGCCCGGAGGGCTCACGCTTTTGGAGCCGGACATCCCCCCCTCGGCCTCGTCGTCTTCCTCCTCCCCCGGGGACCGGGCCGGGGGTCTCCAAGGGGAGGGCGGACGGCCGAGCAGGGGGACCAGGCTGGGGTCACACGTCGGGGGCGGCCCGGGGCCCTGCGCAGAAGCGGGGCATCTTGGCACCCCCGTCCTGAGCGGTGGAGGAGGGCAACGGAGGGTGAGCGGAGAGACAGGCGTAGCCCCGAGGTGAGAAGTAGCTGAGAATCCGCTTCAAGAGTCCCAGGTCCGAGGTGGAGTTGGCTCTGAGCTGGGGCAGCAGGGACTGCTCCAGCTACTGCGCCGCGCGCAGAAGGACGTCCAGACCCCTGGCTCGCGTCGAGTCGACGAGGGCCGGAGTTGCGGACGAGGCGGGACGGAGAGGTGTCCTTGCGGGCGGCGCCTCCCCGGAGCTGGCAATGCCCGGGCGCGGCGCTTGCAGATAATGCCTAAGCAAAGCCCAGCAGCTTTCGGAGCGAGGTGGCGGCGAGGGCGGCTCTGCGGGGGTCCCGGCACGGAGACGCAGCGGGTGCCCTTTCCTCACAGCGGACTGGGAGCGACTGGGAGGTGCGGGCGCCAGCCAGCATTATTTTCTTACGAGGGGTGGGGAGGTGGGATGGGGGGTGGAGAGCACGGGGGAGGGGGCGGCGGGCGGAGCAACAGCTCCGGAGCCCTGGGGGGGAGGGTCCTGGATCCCGGGGGAGCTGTCGCCCGCATCCCCCACCTCCCGTGGCGAGAGTGGGAGCGTGGCCCCCGCGAAAGACGAGCCGAGCCTTCCGCGCGTCCGCGCAGGGGGCGGGGGCGAGGACCGGCTTCTGAGGTGCGGCCCTTCCCCTCTCGCCTCTCCCTTTCCCCCAAACCAAGCGTGGCTGGCCCGCACCCGCCGGTCCCGAGAGCTGTCGCGCTGGCTCCGCTAGCCTCAAGCTTCTTGCCGCCGGCTGCGGGCCCACCGCGGCCGGGCGCAGAACGGCTAAGCGGAGGGCGGAATCCGGCGCAGCGCCACCGCCGTACTGCCCCAACGCAGGCGGGCTTCTCTCCCGGAGCACAGCATCCAGAGATGGAGGGCCGGGGCTCAGAAGCAGCCGGCCGAGGGAGACCCGCCGAAGAGCCGCGGCTCCCCGGGGGCTCTCCGGGGGGACCCGCGGGATCTCGGCTCCGGGCGCGCCATGCACGCCTCGGGCCCTGCGCCGCTCCGGCCGCTCGCGCCGCTCCTCCCTTCTTGCCCGCTCGCCGCCGCCGCCGGAGCGCCCTCCGCATCCCCTCCTCCCGCCGCTTCCCCGCCCCCCGCGCCGCTCGGGCCTCGGCTCACAACGGCGCGCGGCCGCCTCCGCCCTCGGCCGGGCCACGGCCCCAGCCTCGGTGGCCCGTGGGCATCCTCAGGCCGGGCTCGGGGGCCGCGGGGGACCCCAGCTCCCCTTCCTCACCTAAAATTCTCGCTGTGCCCCTCCCTCTCTGGCGCCTGGAGCCGGGTCCAGCCCGCGATCCTTTCGCCGGACCTGGGTGACTTCGGTCGTCCCCCGCCCCGAGCTTGGGTTCCTGCGCCCCCAGTCCTAGCTCCCCTCTTTTGTATCCCCCTTTATTCCCCCTCCCCCCATTCAACCCAACTTCAGCCCCGGCGCTGCGCCCCCCTTCTCTGGCCGGGCTCGATTGGCCGCTTCCTGAGCTGTCAGACTCGAGTCCAGCGCGCTTATTGGGCGATTCTCTGGCCCGGCGACCGTGCCAAAGAAGGGCGCGCCGGGCGGGGGGCACCCGGGTAGCGACAGCCGCAGGGAGTCGGAGACTGAGTCCCTGGAGAGACCCGAGGGGCCCCAGAGCCAGACCCGGAAATGGGCAAGGGAGATGCTGAGACTGAAGATCTCGGAGGCTCAGAAACACAACGACAGAAAAGATGAAGATGCAGTGGGTGAGGCCCGTGCAACCAGGGCGGGGCGGACAGGAACGCTTTGGTGGATAGTTACAGAGAGGAAACCCCACAAACAGAACTGGGAACACCTGGCGTTTATAAAGAGCTGTTTACTTGTTAATACTTTTATAAATCTTATTTGATTCCCTCCCAGTAACTCTGGGCTGTGATAGGGGACAGGGCCTCTGTGGTTATTCCCGGAAACTGAGACTTCAAGAGCTTAACCAACTTGCCATGGGTCACACAGGTCTCCTAACTTTCAACCCAAAGATCTTAGCACCAGGCTGCCTCCCAGACTCAATAAGCTGTTTTCAGGAAGGATGTGCACCAGAGCAAGCTTTGAGGCAGGACCTGGGAAGAGGGGATAATGGCCAGATACTCCTGCTCAGCTGGCCAGCAAAGGCAAGGGTGAGGAGGACTTTACTGCCTGTAGCGGGGACCTGGGCCTGTGAAATGATGTGTCTGCCCAACATCGTTTTCCCCTAGAGTAAAGACGTCCTGCAGGCTGTCTCCTCTTGGTGAGGCATGGTGGGGGGACCATACCTCTCACCAGAGGAGAGAGAAACAGCCTTCCTTTATCCTCTTGGTCCTCCTGCCTCTCCTCAGAGGTTATGACCAGGAACCTACGGGTCTGAAGAACTGCCTTATTTCTTTCTGCTGGTCATCTATTTGCAGAGTGGAATATAAACCTTGCCAGAGCTACAGAATGGGAGGAGAAAAATTCCGAGAGATCTGAGTAAACTAACCCTTGAGTAATCATCCAGCCTTTGAGTAATCCATGATCAGCTAAGTCATAAAAAGCAACACAGATTTAGTCAAGAAAAATTCCAGCGCCCCCAGTGTGCAGAGCGGTATGCTAGGTGCTACCAGGAGAGAGTTGACCAAACTCAGGAAGGGAGCAGAGCTGGCTGTTACCTACAGGTCCAGCCAAGTTCAGTGTTGAACAGAATTCCAACAGAGCTCACCTGTGTTCAGAGAGAGGCTGTCTCATTTCCTACCCTGGGAGATCAAATCTGAGTCTAGCAGGGAAGAATGAGGAAGAGGAAAGGAAAGATGAACTAATATTTATTAAGCTACTATGTATGTATGTAAATATTTTATTGTCAGTATCAAAAGACAGCATTACAACAAATTTAGAGATCTTAATTAGCTTTTATTTGCAATTCAAGAATCAGACAACACCTATTCTACAAAATGTATCTGAGTATTTCAATGAGATGAGCAGAGAAGATTGATTTTATGGACAGAGAAGGGCCAAAGAAGCAGAAATAGAGAACAAAAAAATCAAGGTCATTTTAAGTTACTTTCCTTGTAAAGGTTAAATGGAAGGGGACTTATTATGCCTACTAAAACTGACCTGTTTGGTGTGTGGGTGTGTGTGTGTGTGTGTGTGTGTGTGTGTCTTCCTCCCTCCCTCCAAATAATTTCTTGAAAGGTCAGATTAACAACTTAGTTTTGACTTGGTGGCTTGGAACTTCAGCATAAGTAACTCCATTTGGGTTAAGTCTGTTGGGCCTAATGCAGGAGCTCAATCTAAACCAATGGTCTCTATAAATTTTATTTATCGTTAAATAACCATTTTGAGAAAAGTATTATTCTCTCCAGCATAAAGATAAGAAAATTGAGACTTAGAAAATGGATAAGTTTGTAGAAGGCCCACTGTTTGCAGCACTTGGCTCCTTGTTCTCTACCATACAGCCATGTAGCAAATACCATGCAGGAGAGATACTCAGATCATAGGCTACTACATACTCAGGTCAGAGGCTAGGTAGCCAGAGAAGTCAAGGTTACTTATCAGATGTCTGTCATTGATCAGCTTCTCCACATCTGAGTGCTCCTTAGCTGGTCATTCCTTTTATTATTTTTTTCAATTAAAAAAATCATCTTATAACAAATACCCTATGTGATTGATGTAGAAAAACTAAAAACAAAGAAAAAATCATATTCATAATCCTACCACCTAGGAAGAACCAACATTAAAGTCCTGATTTTTTTTTCTTAAAAAATAACTGGAACCTTTATTCTATAGTTTTAGTCTGCCTTTATCTACTTAGCAAAATATTGTAGTTTTTTTCATGTCAGTAAGTGTTCACTTATATTATCCATTTTATTGTCAGAGTATAATTCTATTGCATGGATATATCACAATTTATTTAACCAATTCCTACTGTTAGACATTTTTCACTGTCAGAATAGTTTATAGAATGTTTTCATCCTTTTATTGTCACAAACAATGAGCATTTTTGAGGATAAATCTTCACATGCATTCTTAAATTATATCATTAGGAGAGATTCCTACAAGTAGGATTGCTAGGACACAGGATAAGCACATTTTCCCCCAAAGATATTTATAAAATTTAGACTTTCAGTCCTTGCCTCTTTTCCCAGTTCCAAGCTTCCCCCAGCCCATGGATGCTCCTTGGGACACACCCACACCCTGGATTCCATTAATCTAACACTGAGATAATCTCCCAAGTAGCCTGCCGTATTTTCCATTTTCCCACTGTTACTGATATGATCATCCCCAAACTCCCCAGACGTAGTGGTCCTTCTTCTGCCTTTGTCTTTTCATATCAGTTTCTTCTACATTCTCTTACCCTTGTCCAGATGGTCCCCCTCCTTGCCTGGACAATTGCCAACTCTTCCTCCTTGCCCTCAAACCTGTCCTCCACTTTGTCCTCATCTATTCACACCTCCGCAAAATCTTTCCTCAAAGCAGCCTCTTTTCACCTATGGGTCTCACTGCCAACCACTTCTCCATGCCACCAACCACTTAACCACCTTGAACTGCTCTTTCTCCTCTGCAGACATTACCTTTTTCCCCCTACAAATTACACTAGCAGCACCTGGGTAAAGGCCTTATAATGCACCTCCACTCTGCCACCCTTTCCCCCAAACCTGTAGTCACTCCCTCTGCTCCCAGTATATCTTGATGGTATCTCTGTTATAGCACCTGTCTCATTGTATTATCTTGACTTGTTCATAGAATCATCTCCACAGCTTGCCCAACTTCTTGAGGGCATAATTGGTATCTGATCCATTCTGTACCCAGTGCTCAATCTGGTGCCCACTAGTTGGTAGGAGGTTACTACTAGTTGGTGGATAAAGAAAAGGAAGGTATACCCGGGAACTAGTGAACGCATGGAGTCTCAGGGGTGTGTGACTGAGGAGTGCTTGAGTTGCTTGGTGGGGATGGACAGGCGGGTTGAATTCTTCAACACAGCACAGAGGACTCCGGTTTAAAGATAATAAGGAGCCCTTTGAATTGGGGGACAGAGTATCCTG